GAAAACGAACCCAGAAGCGCCTTTGGTACAAATCCTGACCCTCTACCCCTTCACCCCCCGTTGCTCCCGTGGGGGCTTGGGCGGATGCAAAGACCGGGCCTTGCATTGCCCTGGGACTGCTCCTCCTGATTTTAATGACCTTGGCCTCATTTTGCTTCTTTTTCCCTTTTATTTTTCTTGCTGACACCTCCTCAGAGCCTGGCCTTGGGTGGGTTATTATTGCTTGGGCAGGAGCATCCCCAGGCGCCCGTGTTTGCAGATACCACATCTTAAATCCGCCAGTGGAAAGCTCTCAAGGCACGGCCATGCCCTGTGGGGTCCGGCTTTGCCGAGGGGCTGGATGAGAACCCCAGCTCGGCACAACCTCCCCTGGCGCCCCAGCCCTGCGTTGCCCCGGAAGACTTTTTTTCTCTTGGAAATTCATTTAAAAAAAATCGTTGGACCAAAAAAAACCCCAACCCAACAACAAGGAAAGAGAAGAACCATAAACAACTACCAGGAAAGTTTTCCAGAGAGTCTCTTAAAAAAATGGGAAAGGGGACGGGAAAAAAGAGAAGCAGTTTTGTTTTTTTTTTTTCCCCAGGCCCAAACACTGCTGATCTCTTGGCTAGAGAAATGCATAGTTGGTAGCAAAAATGTTGGCTACATTGGGAGCCCCTGGAGCCGGGACGGCCCCTGAGCCATTGTGCCGCAAAGGCTCACCGCGGGGCCGGGACAGTCGGGGTCATCGCTCCCCGAGGTCCATGTGGTTCTGACTGTGCTGGCTCACGGTGCCTCTGGTGTGTCTCCAGCTGCGTCCCAGCACAGCAAGGTCCCACCGCCAGCGCTGGGATGTCACCAGTGCTCCCACACAACCCCCCCAGCCCTGACCCACCACGGCCATGCCCGGGGCCGGGCAGAAGACAATGGTTCTCCTCTGGGAGAGGCTCAGATCATCTTCATGTTGAACTTCCTGGCTCCTCCTTGGCCGGTGGTGGTGGTGGGACCATCCACCTTGCGGAAGGAGTACTCCACTGAGAAGTTGTTCTTGTGCTGCCCCCGGCCCCGGCTCCAGACGAAGAGGAGGAGGAAGCAGAAGAGCACCACGCCCAGGAAGGTGATGCAGCCCATGGCTGTGGAGACCAGGATGGTCTTGAGGTCCAACGTAAACTTCAAGAAGACTTGTGTGTCATTGTGGGAGGTGTCGTTGAACTCGCTGAGGTATAAAGTTCGGTTCGCGTAGTGGGAGCTGTCAGCTGGCCGCCCCTTAACCGTCAGGGTGGCGAAGTAGGTGTCGTTGCCTCCCGCGTTGCTGGCGATGCAGATGTAGGTGCCACTGTCCTGCACCTGGGCAAAGCGGATCTCCAGGGTGCCCCCGGGCAGCACGGTCGCCCGCCCCGTGCTGCGGGTGGTGATCATACGGTGCTGAGGGGACACCCAGGCGATGGAGGGGTCTGGCTCCCCGTCTGCCCGGCAAAGGAAGGACACAGATTGCCCTTCCCGGGCCGTCACGTGCTGCAGCTTCCGATCCTTTATCTTGGGCTTCTGGCAGGTGAAATACTCGAAGAGCACAGAGTCCGGGAAGTCACGTAGGGCATTGCCCTGGATTTCGGGCGGTGAGGAGCACATGGGCTGCTGCCCATCGAAGTTGAGCGTCTTCCGTCGCTGCAGGATCCAGAGGAGGCGGCAGTCACAGGCCAGGGGGTTTCTGTCCACCCGCAGGGTCTCCAGTGTGTTGACGGAGTGGAAGGTGCTCTCCTCCAGGGTGGAGAGAAAGTTGCTGGAGAGGTTGAGCAGCCGGATTTGTCTCAGGCCGGAGAAAGCCTGCGGCTCCACGGACACCAAGAGAGCACCCACGATGTGGAGCTCCTGCAGTCGGATGAGGTCTTTAAAGGAGCCCTTCAGCACAGTGCTAATGGGGTTGTAGGACAGGTTCAGGTACCGGAGGTACACCAGGTTCCTCAAGGCAGCGGCGGGCACGGCTGTGATGTTGGTGTAGGTGATGGAGAGCGAGGTGAGGTTCAGGCCCTGGAAGCTGGTGGGGGAGATGTCTTCCAGCAGCGGCCAGTTGTCGATCTCCAATTGCAGGAGGTTGTAGAGTTTCTTGAAGTTTTGGTCCTCCAGCGCAGAGATGCTGAGGTGCCGGAGCCGCAGCACCTCCAGGTTCTGGAGGTAGGAGAGCGACTCGGCTGAGATGGAGGTCAGGTTGCACTTCTCAATGGTCAGCTGCTCCAGGCCGAGCAGCCCCGAGAAGGCCCGCTGGGAGATGTACACCAAGTCGTTATCACCCACCTCCAGGCTCTTCAGGTTTCGCAGGTCCTGGAACATGTAGTCCAGCAGGATGACGAGTTTGTTCTCGCTGATGTCCAGGAGGGTGAGGTTGGTCAACTTGGTGAAGACCCCCGGGGGGATGAGCTTGAGCTGGTTCCCCCGCAGCCGCAAGGTCTGCAGGTTGAACAGGTTGCTGAAGGCACCCGGCTCCACATTGGAGATGATGTTCTCACTGAAATCCAGCTCCTCCAGCAGCGGGTACGGGGAGAGGTCCCCCGGGTTCAGGCAGCGGATGCGGTTCTTGTTGAGCTCCAGGATCTTGGTCTCGGTGGGGATGCCCTCGGGGATGGAGGTGAGCCGCTTGCGGTGACACACCACCGACTTGATCTGCGGGGCGCACTCGCAGCGGGCGGGGCAGGCTGCCACCCGCGGTGGGCTCAGGAGGACCAGCTGGAGGACCAGGACCGGGAGCCAACATTTCATTGTGTAGAGCATGGTCTTACGGGCTCGCTACCATTCTCCCATGCGCCTGGAAGGGAGAGAGATGCAGAGTCAGCGACCAGCCTGGCGGAGGCCAACAAAGTCCTACCCAGCCCCAGATCACCCGTCTGGGCTGAGATGGGAAAACGCTCCCCAAACCATGGCCACGGTGCTGATAAAGTCCCAGCCCCACCCAGGAAACCCTTCGGACCCCCTTTCTCAGCCCCTCATGCGTGACCCGGTGACCATGCCCTGTGCAAACCTGGGCTAAACAAGCCTCACCGCCTGCACACGCCGTGAGGAGAGCAGGGAGACTGAGGCAGGGGAGAGATTTGCGAGAGGAGACACGGCTGCAGACCCACAGCTCAGCCTCTGCCCCCCGGCTGGCTCACAGCCGCTCTGCGCCACCGACGGTGCACGTGCAGGCACACGGGACCGTGAGCACCCAGGATAACGGGAGACACAGACCCCCTCAGGGCAGTGCAGGAGCAAAGAGACGCAGGCAGAGGCCTTGCAAACTCATGACACAGGTGGGATGCCACATCCCCTCTGCTCCCCGTGTGGCTGCTGTGAGGTCTCATCCAGAAGCACAAATTCTTCCCAGGTCGTTGGGCTCGGTGAGGTCCCACAGGACGGGGGATGTTCGGCACCGCACGGAGGGACTCGTCCTCCCATTCCTGTCCCCAGTGTCACCCTCTCAGAGTGGAGATTAAGGCAGCTGCAGGCACCGTCTTCGCAGATGAGGGATTAACGCCGACCTCGTGCGGCGCGGTGCCCCAGCCACCCTCCTTCCCAGGGATTAGCACTTCACCGCCGCTTTCTCTTCTCTCCGCTTCCCCTTCCCTGCTCCCTGCCCCTTCCTGTGCCCCAAATCTGCTGGGCTGCCACCGCACCTGGCAACGCCCCTCCCAGCACCAGTGCAAACTCCTCAGCCCCCTTTCCATAATGAAGCACTCTCATTAACCTAATTAAGTGGCAGAGCTGCTCAGCTGGGGTGCTGCAGAGTGTTTCTGGGCCCGGAGGGGGGAACGCAGGCAATCTGGGGGGGGTACCAAGAGCACAGCCACCCCTCCAGCCACCCCTGTGGAGGTGCAGCGAGTGGGGCAGGTCTCAGCTCTGCGCTGAGGGTGAAAGGCCCATAGAGAAAATATCCCAGATGAACCAGCCTGAAGTGCTTCACCATCTCCTGGGGTTGGGTCCCCTCCCCAGGTCCCCAGAGCAGAGCCGGGGTGAGAGCCTGGGCAGGGCATCACCGCCAGCGCTGCAGCAGGATGCCCACCGAAGCAATGCGGGGGCCCCAACCTGGTCTGCTGCCTCCACGGGGAGATGCTCACCATTCCCAGCAGCCCGCTCCTTCTCCTCTTCCTCCTCCTCTTCCTCCTCCTCCTCTTCCACCTCTGACTTCACCTCCTCACTGCCAGGATTTATTTGCTTTGTGCTTTTCCAGGTTATCTCCTGGCCGCTGCACCTCACGGGCAGGAGGCACAAGCATCCCTCTCCCCATCTGCTCTATCGACAGCATTTATCTGCCACACCTTGAAGGGGCAGAGGGGCACCCACCCCTCCAGTGTGGGGGACCACGTCCCATTGCCCCCAGCACTGGGACAAACCAGTGCACAGTACCCGAGGGGCAGCCAGACTGGCTCCAGCTCTTCCGCCCAAGCCAGGGCTCTGGGGAGTGCTGGACCTTGTTTCAGGGTTTTTTTGCCCCCCCCCTGCCCTGCTCCCTCTGTCCTTCTGGGCGTGTCAGGGACCCCAAATACGTCCGTCAGAGCCCAGCAGGATGGGGGAAAAGGGGATGGGAGGATGTGACATCTGTGACTGCTCAAGCCCACTGCAGTGCCATCGCATGTCCTCGTTGCCCAAAAGCATCTGAAAAGGCCAAGCTTAAGGAGGCCGGTGCTTGGTTTAGGGGGTGATGGAGGGAGAGAGGACGAGCTGCTGCTCACCACCAGGAGAGATGGTGGGAGCTGCCAGGGCAGGCTCGCAGTGGGGAGAGGACGAGCCACCACGTCCATTCACGTCCCCCATCCCTGCCCCTTTGCTAAGGGGCTCCGTGGAGGACAGAGCACCCGGGGCCACGGGGCAGTGGGGCAGGACATGGGGGTCACCATTCCGGGGTGCTGAGCCTCTCACCAAGTTGCTGCCCTCCACTCAAACCTGCCAGACCCTCTCCTCCCAAAATCCCCTCTGTGCCCCGAGCCCACCCCGGCTGGCCCAGTCCCTCCTGCAGCAGTCGCGCCCCAGCCCCGGGGAGGCTCGGCGGGACACACCAGAAGGAGCCCGAAGGTTTTGTTTTTGCTCCCGTTCCCTGTCACCCCTTTCCCCATCCTCTGCCCTCTCGGGGCACACAGCAGCCCTGCCCTGGGGTTGGCACCAGCGGGATGAGCGATGGGGACCCCAGACCTCCCCGCAGAGGTGACACTGATGGAGCGGGGACAGCAGGAGCTGGCCCATCCCCAGGGCCGCCTGGCAAAGGACACCAATGGCTGGTGTCACCCTCCCTCCTGTCCCCAAGGGCTGGCAACACGTGGGAACAGCGTCAGGGGGCTGAGAGGGCTCCTGACCCCTCTCTCTATGCTCACATCGGGGGGTAGGATACAATCTCCACGGATAATTTCCTGCTCTGATCCTATTATCCAAGCTGAGCAATTCTCTGACAGTAAACCCATTGCTCGGTGCAATTTAAGAGCCGCAGGAGATTATATTTCACAGGCTTTTTTTTTTTTTTTTTCTCCTTGGTGCGTATCTTAATTTTGCCACATTTCCCTTTTTCCTCCAGCAAATCAAACCGAGAGGAAAGCGTTACCATTTTTCACAGAGCCGCAGGGAGGGGATTAACAGCCGGGTGGGATGCAGCATGGGCTTTCTTCGCTGGGGGCAGCAGGGTAGGACTGGAGACCCCACTGCTGCCTCCACCACGTCCCAGCCCCTTCCCTCCCTCCTCGCCAGCCACACAGCCCCTCTCCCCAGCACTGCTCAGGCTTCACCCGTTGCACCCGACTGCCCCATTTCCCGACCCCTCCATCTCCAGCAACCGGAGGTTCCCAAATGCCACCGGGGCACAGGAGCAGGGATGTGGCTGGGGCTGCTTGGCAGCCTCTGCCTTCAAAGAGGCTGCTCACAGCTCTGCCAAGAACCATTTTGCGATCGGCTCTGCCTGGCTGGCAGCCTCGGGAACCCGAGCCGGCTCTAGGGTGAGGGGGGGACAGCATCCCTTGGTCCCCCGCCTGGTTCAGAAGGCTCCACTCCTGCTCTGCCACAGGGTTGGACAGGAAGGATGCACCCAGGCACAACCTGCAGGAAAAAACAAACCCTCCCAATTTATTGTGACACTTATTTTATTTAGTGTCTCTACGCTAAATAAATACACCCGGGCCCTGCTGCCAGGCTAATGGTTTCCCACGCTTGGCCGTATCCTGTGCTCACTGTCGCTTCGCCCTCCAGGGGCTGGGGGGCGGAATCTGGCCCCTTCCCTTCCCCTGCCCACGGCCGCTGTGCGGGAGACAGCCCGCGAGCACGCCGGCTTTCCGCCACGTTCATTATGAATGAGCCCGGGGTAACCGTACTCCACTTTTGGTTACTACTTTGGCCACCCGATCCTCTAAGCAAAGGTACGAACCCGCCGGCGTTGTTTTACCCGGCAGCCGGGGAGCGGGAGCTGCAGCCCTGGGCTCTCCTTCCAGCTCCACAGCCGGAGCAGAGCATCGGCTGCCCCTGCTGCCCCACAGCCCCCACCCATGGGTGCCCCGGAGGAGCCAGGCACAGCCCCAACACCCTCAGAAAACCCCATGGAGGGGGAATTAATGGATGCTGGATGAGCTCTCTCCCAGCAGACCCAGGTAGATATGAGCTCTGGAGCAAGGTGCTGAGGTGGCCAAGGCCGGCCCTGTCCCTGTGGGTCTCTGCTGGCTCCAGGACATCCCGCAGAAGTTGCCCCAGCTGTGGAGACCCCGGGTCCCCCACAGTGACAACCGGGGCCCCACGGTCCCCATCTGGCCTGGGCAGAGCCGAGCCAAGCTGAGCAGCGTCATTTATTAATAGCTCATTACTCCGATCGCGCAGCATTCTCCGGGGCTCGCCGGTCCCCGAGGAGTGAGGCCAATTAAGACTCTAGTTGAAGGCCTAGATAGAGGCGCTTCTTCGCATTTAATTTGTTTTTAAAAATAACACGCCTGCTGCATGCAGGGCTGGGGAACAGAGCCAGGAACGCATGAAGCAGAGGGGCTGCAGCATGGTGGGGGGGAAGCAGAGCAGAGCATCTTTGGCCACTTCTGAGCCCCCAGGAGCAGCCCCCTCCTTCCCTCCCTCCCCACCAGGACATGTGGCCACCGAGCCACCGTTTTGTCCCAGCCGCCGGCAGCACGGTGCTTCCCGGCAGGCAGAGCTCCGAGGAACCAGCGCTCTCCGACCACCCGGCTCTTGGATGCTCAGCCACCAGCCCTCCCTGCTCGCTCCCTTGCACCACCACATCTTAGAGTAAAGGAGGTGGCAAAGTCTTTTCCACCGTCTTCAAATGGCTCCTGCTTCAGTGGCACACGCTCGGCAGTCACCTCCTCGGAGAGCAATTGCTCTTCAGCTGCCATTTCTCCTTTTTTTTCTGAATAAAGACCCAAAATTAAGCCGAGGTTGACATTTCTAGGTTCCCCTGTTTTGACATCCCGCAAGTGCAAATACTTCAGTCAAAGCAACGTCTTGTTTTATTCTTCCATTGACTTGCAGGATGCAGAACGGTCCTGCTGAGACCTTCGAGAACCCCACGCTGCTGCTCGAGACCATCCCCCCGTTACCCCTCCTTCATGGGCTCTGCCTGGGGAGGCCAGGAGCACCCAGGGGAGGTTACATCCTCAGGATACAGGATGCTGCTTCATCTTTCCAGGAGATGTGGAGGACCCCAGGGGAGGGTGGAGACAGCCAGGTAGGGAGGCAGAATAGGGCAGAAAGTGATGCTGGAAGCCCCATGCATTTTGGAAAGGGTCATCCTTAAAACACTGATGGGGGGGATGGATAATATCAGCACCCTGACACACAGGAGACAGGGAGGTGGCA